CGAACAGAACACACCGAGTTAAATAATGAGATTATATTAGAAGCTGGCATTTACGATATCGTACATCAAATATGAAAATTATATGGGTTTATAAGGGGGTCTGGGAAAAAACGGTCGTCCTGGACGCGGTCTCCAAAATCGTGGTCTTCCTGGTCGTGGTCTGCGAGGTGGTCGCCACCTAGCAGGGTGGAGGTCGTCATCAATTTCGGATTCACCACTTCCCAACATCGAATTCGCTGCATCAACCGGTTCAACATCGACTTCCTCAACTTGTCCTGACTCCAGACGCTGTGAATCCACTTCATCAGAACCAGCAGCCATGCGTGTGTGTGTGAAGAGGAGGAGAAGAAGGAGAAGTGAGAGACTCAGGTTCGTTAACGATCGCATGCCCACTGTCAGTGTGTCTGTGCTTGCTCGTGTGTCCAGTGTGAGATCGAATCGACGATGGTCATGTCTCCTTTTATACCAACGCGATCACACGTGTGTTACTTGCGTCCAGTCGTAGTGTTTATGTACGTGGTGCCTTCTCACATGCCCGCACTGAAGTATTCATTGAATATTTGTTTGGTGGAGTAGTGCGTTGTGGGCGTAAGTTGGTTTCACGCACGTGGGCGGAGGCACAGCCTATGGAATTAGCGCAGGTGCACAAACTGTGTGATGGTCGCGTCGCCTTTAATTGCAAGCCTTTCAGCAGGCATGATTTTACGTATGATAATTGCCGTTCACCTTTAATAATTACGATCATACATTCCTCTGTCCCAGCTATCAAGCAAACTACAAATGGCAATCTCGATGACAATAATCTGTGTGTTTTTCAATCAACGAGTGCATATGACATGACCCGTCTCAGCTACTAACCCGTCCTGCGTGTATGCAGGATAAGATTCATGAAGTTTTAGCCCACTTCAGTAATGCTGCACTTAAGAGAGAGCCACGTTCACCTCTGCACTCGAGCGTCCAAAGCTGCTAGATTTAGGCGGACGTGAGAACATTCGATGGCTATCGACGCTCAACATGTCTATCGGATAGCATTCAACATCCAATTCAACCACCGCTTTATTCCATTACCTGATAGAGTGACGGCGATTCGCACGGGTCATTTACCACAAAGGCTTTTCCAAACTGCAGTTTTGTGAAAGTGATATCGAATGGACTCAAGACACGTGACTGACTGATAATTGCCTTATTATCCATGTTCTTGTGCAATTTTGTCTCCGATTTTTGGGCAGAACTGTTTTTTTGCTGGATCCTTTAAATAGCATGGTGGGATGCAAAATGTGCACAATGCAGTTACCTGTTTAAGGCTATGTCAAATTTAATATGAGCTTAAATGATTTAAATGGTTGCAAACATCTATTTTCATAATTTCTATTTAGAAAATGAAAATAGATGTTTGCAGTGACGTAGTCGACCAGGCAACATAATCCTAAGTGCACGCTCACCATTTAGTAAACAGGCCCTTCTTTTTTGTAAATGCCTCTCTTTAATATAAATCCTTTAAAATAATTGCGTGGCGGCATCAATTACATTTTGTTGACTGATTTAGTATAGCAGTTAGACAAATCGCACCATGGCAATCACCGACTCTCCAACAAAGCATCTAGCATGGGGACGAAATGGATTTTTGCTGATGGGTCTGGAAAAAGAGACAGGGCATCGGATTCCAATCCGCGTCACCCCGAACTACATGAAGTTACACTTGGGTCACTTGAAGCCTAACGGATTTGAACAACTCTAAGATGAATACCAAGATCTTATGAAAACAACCAGATCATCCTTCCAACTTACTCTAGAAATTGCATCCTTTCACTGCGAGGTGACCACTGACATCAATTTGGGCCATGGGAATATCGTCTGCTAAATTGGAAGCAGCCAAGTAAAATGTGCTTTTGATGATTTACTGGAGAACAATTTCGTATACGCAGATATTCAGTTCACTCGAAACTTCAAACCCCAATGTCTTTGTTCTTGTGTCAGAATTTACTCTACATATCATGTTGCAACCTCTTTTTAGTTCGCCTTCAAAATGGCTAAGGGTTTAATTTATCGGAATCGGCTTATTTAACTAGAAAGTGAACTAAAGTTCTGCAAGCATGCATTATTCACATGGATTGCGTATTTTACGCTAAAATCCCAAAGTATCCATACTCGCATGTTCAGCGGACTTATCTGGTTAGCCTTTTACGGCAGCCTGTTGATTATGTCACAGATAGACGTGTTCAAAAAGGTACTGACAGGGTGCGCAACGATGTGTCGTGTCAATTATGGTGTCTTTATTATTAATGCTTACACTGTGTTCTAAGGCACGGGGTTTTTTCCCACTACCGCTCATTTATTTCAGGTTTGTCCACATGTGCTCTGCTAACCTGCATTCACAGGAAGCTCATGCACAAAACTAGCAGTCAGCAAACTCATCAGCGGGTGTATTCAAATAGCACCATTTGAACACAGAATGATTTGGATGCAAATAGCGCAGTTTTGGTGACATAAATATTTGAAATAAAACATGCTCAACGTCTGTTCTATTTTAAATTAGACTCACAGGCAAGCACAGGCATAATCACTATTGAATTGCGGGTGTTCACGGGCTCATGCATCTCCGCTCTATTTTTTCCTCTTTACTTGAGTTGGAGTGATAATGCGTAACCCACTTTAGTCAATACTCTCACATACTCGCATACAACTGGTGGCATACTTGAATTTGGGTTGTGCAAAGCTATTGTTGCGACGCCATTTGCCACTAACTCCCCAGCAAGGATGAAGTCTGCGGTAGGAGGGAGAGCCAGTCGCTAATTCGAGAACCTAACGAAATTGTCGTAGTGTGTGTGGTTTGCACGTGTTTATTCATACCTTCGGTGTGTGAGCCATACTTGCGCTAACATTGACACCTAGGTGTGAGGATATCCCATGGTGAATATCCGCGTGAATGAGGGGTGCGTCGAGAATACGCGGGGCTGGCGATATGTTGCGAAGAGGGGAACCCTGTATCGGAGGTGGAGCGACCGGATTTAGGAGGGTGAATTTACAGGATTCACAACACTATCTTCTGAGGCAAGTGCCCATCTGATTGCTTTAGATAGCCCTGAGACGGTGAGAGTCGAAAAGGAGCGTCCATCAATTCACTAACGAGAGGGGGCTGTGGTAAGACGCTAGGTGAATATTTAAATGTTTGCATACAGGTCTGTTAGTAACTTTGGATGGACTTCAGAACACAGGTAGAGGTAAGCCGAACAGTGGCATCGGTGAATTGAGGAGCACAAATTGGCGTGTAAGAGATCGCACTGCCCATCGCCCACACAGATACACTTTGAAACACATGCGCGCATCTCCGGCTTGTTTCCACAACGTAAACGAAGACTTTAATGATATACTGTGCTGCGCCTACACTGGCGTGGGTAGCAGTGTGGCTGACCCTTGACCAAGTGCAAGGATATCCGTTAGACTATTTTGCATTCTGTCGGTCCACGCGACTTAATAGGCAGGCTCCACCTCTAACGCTCTGTGGATTTTATATCCTAAACACGAGTAGACGACACGTTGTATTATAGGGTGCAGATGGATCATTGAAAGCTGATAGTCGCGATGTTGCGTGCTTCATGTATCGTTTTTTTAGTTGCTTTCACGAGCAACCGTATATTTGCCCAACTTAACTCAAGAGAGGGTGATTCAATTTCCTGAATTGTTCTTTGGTGATTTCCTATTCCTCACCTCGAATTTGAGCCAAATTTTGGTTCTTTGAATGAACCGCACATTTTGTTAAAGTCATGGCCAAATTGTGATAGCTGAAACCATTAATGAGGAACTCATGTTAAAACAATCCAAAATCTATTCCTGCTGAGAAGCAGTCAGCACAGCAGCAGGTGCTAAACTAGTCACCTATTGTGTCCTCATCCCAATTAGATGACTCTTCCTCCCTCTTTAGATTTTGTATTTCTATCAAATAGGCAATAGGAATGATTTGTAGATGGACAATGCTAAACATGTGTAATCAGACGACATAAAGGACATATTGACGTCCTATTTGCAGAAACGATGGAACCGAAAGATAAAGGACATAGAATCGCATGGTTAGCAATCCATTATGACCACTGACACTCCATGAGAGCACCTAGTCCAGTGACAAAGTTGTGTGCTGAAGCCTTGTGCATTGGAATTAAGTTGAGTGAGTTGGTTGATCACATGGAAGTTCTAACGGAACTACGTGCGGTAATAGTCAAAGGGTTTTAACCCACGTGCATCATCCTCGTTTTGAAAAGGCCACTAATCAAGCTATGTAAAGTCTTACCCGGAGAAATGGATGCATATGCAACGTAGCTGAGGTGCTGTTCTGGTGATAATATTTTGATCATTTTATGTTATCACCAGCCGCCCACTCACAACTTTAATCAGATTTCAACCACATTAACGTTAATAAACAAAGCACGACTGTCAAGTAAACAGTGGTGCTCGTCGAAAAGTGCGCAGTCGTGGGTGCGTATAAAAGACTGGCATAACTGGCATCTGTTCACGTTCACACCAGACACACAAGCGTACCCAAAAGCACTCAATTTCGAAATGCAGTCTTTTATGGGCCTGTGTCTCTCAGCCCTTTTCCTTCTCTTCTTGACTCATCCACGTGAAGTCTTCTGTTCTGAAGGGGTCAACTCAGAGAGCCTTGAAGCAGAAATACTTGAGGTTCTTCATGCAGAACCCAGGTCATCAGAGGACGATGTCGAAATAATCGAAGATGCTGAGGAGAAGAAGGGGAAAGTTCTTGCACCAGCTGGGTGGCGACGTATCCGGCGGAGGATTAGCAGGGAATTTCGGAATGCCATCAGGAATCTAAGACGGTTCCCTTTGCACCTTATTCCAATGATTGCTCGACCTGGTTTAATTATCCCTTGACATTGAAGTTATGAATAAATATATGCACTTTACTTTGCACATTATATTAGTTTGGGTGATCCTAATGTAGTGTGAATAAGCAAGACTGCAGCCCGCCACAATTCTAATCGTGACCTAGTACCAAAGTTACTAAAAGGCATTTTTCAAGTCTTTTTTTCCTTTGTACACTCTAAGGGTTCAATTTCGTCAATTTTCTTTAAACGTGGAAACATTGACTTTGCTTTCTCTACCACACCATATCATTTGAATTATTCAGTGAGGGTTGGCAGGTTATGCGAAGCTAAAATTCTGCCTAGCAGTAAATCATGTTTGTTAAGGCACGATGATGTCCTGGATGCAGGTATTTATTATAACCCGATTTTGAGATCAAGGTTTTTTCTGAGACGTGGCGACGCTGATGTAGCTGTAACTGGAGGTAGTTTGATTAGCAAGCAGTTTGCTTAACTAATGTATTTAAGTAATTTCCTCAGACCCATTATCCAAGAAAATGGACATTACTAGGTCAGAATATAGCATCTGATGCATTGAGTTGTAGAATTTTTCATCTGAATGAAGTGAGGTCTTCATTGCTTTGGAATCTGAATCACTCAGGGTTGTAATGTTCTCTCTGGCAAAGCGATAGGCGTCTATGATGCTCTGACATGAGTATTAAAGCATGCATGTGATGATTCAGTCAATTTACGGGTTTTTCTGGTTCTTAGGCAATGCATGTGTAATACAAGGAAATTTCAGAAGAACAACGTCACTACAAATTCACTATGTAATTTGCAATATCCTTCACCATATTAAAAGTGTGGTTGTAAATATGTTCTGTTGTTATTGTTGTGAGCGGAGTGAAATTTGCATTATTTAAAGTATTACAGAATGCCATCCCATATACTTCAATTGTGTAATTCACGCGTGAATTTTGCTCATAGGAGATTTCTTGAGAACATCACTATTGTCATGAAATTCGGCATTATCACCACGCGAACACCGTCAAATGGGCTGCAGTCTCCGCCCATGCGCACACTATTTTCTGCCCAAAACGCCTTAACCGATTGCGCAACATTTTTCCACATTATTTACAGTACAAAAATCTTTCAGTGTACGTTAACATTGTCATTTGTCATTTGAGCACAGTACACAGGATGTGCATGTACTCAAAATGTGCAATGTAAACTAGTGCAGACAAGTATTCAGGGGCAATCCCAGACACGCTGACACCGGAAATGCCAAAACCATATCCTTCCTCCATGTGTCAGTGACTTTGGCCACCGGTCTTTCGTTAACACGACTGTGAGTAACCTTGTCACAATACTGCAGCTTAAAGCAACTGAAGTGATCAGTGGAACAAACGTTCTGCTTTAGCATCTACTTATATCCTGACACGTTAATGACTGCATCACCTATTTGCCATTTAACGTAAGCTGATTGTGATCGTCTGATTGTCAAACGAATACCCGTTAAGAAGTGTGACATCATCGAAAAAGCGTGTGTCTGGTGAATAAATTGTTGCATGAGATTTGTAGTCAATCTGTATGAAGATGGATAGGGAAGGTTGCTTGTATCTAAATTCACAACCTGCATTTGTCATGGAGTCTGGCACACACATTTCATTACATTTAGCTAATAAATTTCGACCAGTTTTTGACGAAAGAATAGATGGCGAAATAATGCAGAGAGGTAGCTTTACGAAATGCAGTGTGCATGGTGGTGTTTTCATCATTCGTGCATCCACCATGGTCGTCAATTTAAACTTCCTAATTTCATTGCTATTCACGCATTGTGCGTCTGTCCACATATCTATCTCTAAACTACGCCCACAAGGGTTCCATCCACAAAACAAATATTCAACGAATACATCAGTGCGGACATTTAAGAAGGCACCACCTAGATAAACAATTAACGCACTTGTGATCGTGTTTGCATAAAAGGAGACATAACCAACATTGATTCCATCTCACACCGGACACACGAGCAAGCACAGACCCACTGGCACTGGAAATGCGGTCGTTAACGAACCTGAGTCTCTCACTTCTCCTTCTTCTCCTCCTCTTCACTCACACACGTATGGTCGCTGGCTTTGGTGAAGTGGAGTCACAGCGGCTGGAGGCTGAACACGTTGAAGAGCCAGATGTTGCTCTAACTGACGTAGTGGAATCCATGATAGGAAGTGACGATTTTGACAATGCTGATATCCTTGAACCAGCAAGTGCGCTACCTTGCAAGTTGCCAGGTCGAAGATGGTCATGTGGTCCATGGTGGAGACGTAGACGCAGAGGTCGACGCGCATAAATACCGTTTGTCCTCAATGCAGGCATTCATTAAAATCTGACTTCGATTCTAACGCTTTTTGTTAATGCTGGTAACACTGGTGTTAGCTTAATTGTGCGAGATTAGTAAGGGAGAACTGTGGAAAGTGGATGTGTTTAAGTAATTTCGCCAGAGTTGTCAACGCGACAACTTGGCTAAATTAGACCAGACTATGGCAAATACTGCATTAAGTATGCTTGAATAAACGTCACGGTGCTTGATTTGATTTACTCGAGGGGTGGAACTATAAATATTGTACTAGGAAACGTTCATTTAATTGTGTTTTGGGTTTGTATCTTGGTTAAGTGAGCCCTTCGTTTCTTTGTAACTAACTGATCAGGATCATTCTCAAGCGCGTCACAAATGCCTGAACATTTGTCTCAAGCACCATGTGATTTCCGTGCAATTCGCTGAAGTCTCATCAACGTTCCCCTAAT